GCTTGTTAGGGCCTCCGATCTCAGCGTTTGTGAAAACGTTATATCCTATCAGGATAAAATTTGAGTGGGATATATATGATGACACGAGGAAGACATCAAAGTAACTTTTGTGCTCTAGTGAGGTCGAATTTATTGCGTTTCCTTAAACGTTCATGCGTCAAAGCTGGGCTCAACTTTGATACTCCTGTGAGGATGCGGCTTGCTTTTCGCCCAATGAAATAACAAGAAGCGGACGTTTGGCAAACAAATACGTGTAAGGCTCAAGGTGACCAAATTTCAGTTGTAGTTCACTGGTACTAGACAGGATTATTGAAATTGGGCTCAAAGATGCACTCGTGGGGTGGTGTAACTAAGCCACGTCTTACTACGTTTGCATACGCACGTAACATATCCGGTGTTTCGGGAACCAAGGAAAGCGCCCCGGTCTTCGTTTTGTATCGCTCGAGAATGAGTGTATTGTACATTCGTGAAAAGTCAGATAGTCGAAAACGCAAGTGGCGCATTCGGTCACGGCGTGATGGCATGAAATGAAGCTGCTCGATCTAAACCGAAACTGAGTGGCCATGTAGTTCCCAGGGTGCACTGTGTGGTATTTCGCCGCGATGGGGCACCTCGAGTTTGGAAGAAGTCACTTCGAACGTAATAGTTTAAATCTGTGGGCTTGTCTAAATATAATGTGAGTTGTGCAGTGGCGTGAATGAGAGCTACTTAAATGATAATAGTGCTCTCGGTCAGTATGTTTGCGATAAACATTAAGAATCGTTCACACATTTGCGTTCGACTACGACTGACTTCGACACGACGGTTTTTAAGCCTCTGGTTACGGCTTAGGACCGGCTGCGCTGCTGCGGAGCCGATCGCAAGCCGTCACCAAAGGCTTTAAAACCGGTCTTGTCTCAGTCGGTCGTAGACTCGTAGTGAAGCGCAAGTGTGTGAACGGGGTTTTAGTTTCTAGCCTGTCTTTATCTCGGCAGTAACATAACAAAATTCGTGTCGTACGCATGTGTGCGAGATCCAAATGCTGGGAGAACTGCGTTAACTCCTTTGTAAATCAAGGTAATTGTCTCTCCTTGACTACAAATACTACAAATATAATCGAAATATATTCTATGCAAAATATGCATATATGGCCAGGCAGAGAGAAAAGCAGATTCCCGTTGTCCCATATATAGAATGCCGCCTCGGTGGATCCGAGATAAAGTGTAGGCTTAGCTATGCATGAAATACTTTTCAAATACTTGATAATCTAATTATCCATGTCAACATCTATACTGCGGGTATGGCAATGATAATTTGGGTGCCATGGAGAACCACCTTACTTCCTTCTCTTAACGGCGGCTGTCCATGCTTCTCTCTTCTCGGGACACAGCTTGGCAGACCGAAATCTAAAATGATATATGTGCTGCCCGTAAAATTAGTTTTTTCAACCTTTGGTGACACAGTTTGTTGGCATTATGAGAATGGCAGCGACCCATGACGCAGATTTTGTTTCCGCAACAGCATAGTGCAATGAAGACCTAAGAACTGCTGCACGCCTAGTCGTCTCTCGCCGTGAATGGGGGCGCTAGCATCGTTTCGCGGATTCCCAGCGGTTTCTTTTGAAAAATGTCAGAGTTGGGCTAGGACTGGTGTTCTGAAGGATTCACGTGGGCTCCAGTCGAACGCCGGCGTAGCAAGTGGAATATATTCCCCGTGTTGACCCCCTGCATGCTACGTAGAAATTAAGCACTTGGGCTTTCCATCCAGGCCGCATTGTCTTTCCAGTGCTGGACGCGTCTGAACTGTGTCCGCAGGTGGTGGTCATCATGGGCGCCGTGTGCGGCATGGCCACGGTGCTGATGGGGAACATGTTTGCCCTGACCCGGATCGTGTATGCCATGGCCGAGGACGGCCTTCTCTTCTCCTGGTTCTCCTGGGTCAACGCCAGGACGCAGTTGCCCCTGGCAGCTATGTACGCCTTCACGTCACTCTCCGCGGTCCTGGCAGTGCTGCTGGACATCAACACCCTGGTCGAGATGATGTCCATCGGTACGCTGCTCGCGTATCTCGTGGTCAGCGCCTCGCTCATTATCGTCCGCTACATGCCCCTCGCAAGGCTCATGGTGAGAATCCCTCCTCTGACGCGCGCTCTTTATTGCCACACAAACAGGGCCTCTCAAAGCTGAACTTTCTGGGGGCAGGTCCGATACAAATATAGCGGCATTTCTATCAATGGACATAAAAATATGCGGCTTCTACACATTACTTGCACTGAAGTCGCATCGATGGACATTGTATCGTATTTTACGGGCTATAACCCGTGGACTAAACACGTTTACAAGTTTAAATTTTAGGCTGTGCGGACTATCTGCGCGTGCGGACTACACAGGAATTTTGTTTTTGAAGATCGATCATTATGACCAGACGTGAAGGATTTTTTATTGAAAGAGTATGTTAATGGTCATTTATATATAATACCAGCTCTCTGAACTGATACAGCAGACATTTGTCAAAGTTTTCCGAGTTTAAGAAGAATTTCGTGTCGACTAAGCACCAGGTGCGGACTATGAACGGCGTGCGGTCTATGCACCCAGTGCGGACAATCTAAGTAAAAGCGTTATTCTTTCGGCCTATATTCGCCCTTGCGGACTATACACCGGGTGCGGACTAACGCCAGGAATATACGGTGGTGGCTTCGCTGTTGAGGGCGTGCCTTCTGCAGCCCCCTTTCACGCCACCGATTTAGTTTCTTTCGGAATGAGCAAGTAGATATGACCACGAGTATGGGGCCCATACTTCACGTAGTTATACACTACCTACACGATATAAGTTCAAAAGTACCGGCACTCCATTTCCCCGTGTTCTTGTGGGCGTCGGCTTTTTGAAGCTTAATTCAGAGCGGACGCCATCGGCCATCGTTGCGATTCGAAGCGTCGACTTCCCGAGCTTGAGATACGGTCGTCGGGAACCCCAGGCGATTCCGTTTTTCTGTATAGTTAAAAAATTCTGGATGATGCAAAAGCGGCGATTTGATAGAGAGGCTTCAGAGAACTGGCAACAATAATCTTAAGCAGCAAAATGGCTAAAGTGTCGTTACTCCGAAGCATGACTTATTTAGTGGCTCTGCTATACAGATTTTCAATGTTTATAAAACCACACCTGCTAGAGGACAACCCCCAGCACGCACGTATTTCGCCCCTCGGAAAACGGGTAAAAACACGCGGCATGCGAGCGGGCCCCATAAGACGAATGCAAAAAGTGCTGCTATCTCGGTCATGAACGCCAACGTTCGAGTTCCAGCGATTCTCCTACCCCATGGGAACCACTGAGTTTCCCTAAAAACCTCGGGGGTTCCCCGAGCTTCCAAATTTTCTTCGCCGTTTCCGAGTAGTCTTTTTTCAGTGTGACCACTATATTAGATTGTCTGAGCTGTCCATTAATGTATAACATTGTGGCCAACATTCCTTAGTATGAGCGTCATCTTTACATGACATGTAGGCTTTTACAGTACTGTACTGCATCACTGCCGAGGCCAGGAGGGGATCCTCAACTACCACATAAGATTTTCCGTTCTCGGGGTAGAAAACGGTTAAGGAACATTGATTGTCCAATTGCGCCCAATTCGGGCGCAATGCTTGCTTGCTTGAATGGTGCCCCATGCGTACAAGCACGTGCCGGTTGCGCGTGAACATAGCTTTCGCAAGCACGCAATTGCACGGACTTGTCCGCACAAGCAGAGACATTGCGGCGGCCGACCGCCTTGCCTGCAGTCGTCTACAGACGATTGTAAGCGGGGAGACTGGCAGCCGTCACGCCTCTACTCGTTTGGGTAAGCCCGAGCAATTGCAAGCTTGGCAAAACCATGTTAACGCGCACGCTGCACGTGCTTGCGCGCATGGGGCACTAGTAGAGCCTTTCCGCTTGCAATCGTCTATAGGATAATATGTTAGCACAATGCAAGTGTGTTTGCGATCCCATCGGTCATCTCCGGCAGGGTGAAGAAAGCCAGGAGCTCCCGGACCTGGCCCGCCCCACGCTCTCCGATGAGTCTGTGGACGACGACACTGGGGGTCGGCTACGCAACAGCTTCTCGTTCCTGTACACTCTCTATCCGTTTGACCAGCCGCCGGGCATCGTGGTGTCGTACAGCATCACGGTGCTAACGGTCACTGTATTCATCCTCGGATTCCTGACTCCGTTAATGGTGGCACCGCTGGCTGACGGCAGCGTCTGGGCCGTTCTGGCACTCTTGCTGCTACTAGGAGTGGCCTTGGCCAGCTTCGGGATCATCCTACTGTTTCAGCAGAGCTCGGCAACAGTGCGCTACAAGGTACGGCGCGCGTCACACCCGACAGGGTCACCTAATTTCACAGGATAGGAAAAAACTGCTAACTAGACCGTCATAATTTTTGGCACTAAGGTGAACTTATGACAGTGTAAAAGGCATTTCATTGTTTTTACTGAAATTCGAGACCACGATAGTGTAGTAACAATATGGGCACTGGCTTATTGTTATGCAGGTATGACTTGAGCCGCGTGCACTTGTCGTCAAATGACTCGAGCCGCGTACACCGCTCAGCTCACGGGGAGTGGGTACCATGCATGTATATCACAAGAGAGGATGAGAGGGCGCTGCCGTAATATCACAACGTGTACACGAGCAAGTTTTTAGCGGTTATGTACAAACACTGCATTCTCCTCTCTCTAGACATCATGCTCAGCAGACAGCACTAATTAGTACAGTTCAAATATAGTACAAGAACAATAGAATCGCTGAACTGATGTGTATATGACCGGAGGACGTAATCTATGCGTCGGGTACCAAGCCTGCAGCGAGGACTTGCAGGGCATTCGTATCAATTTGTATTTGAACCTTTGTACCAAAATGCGATTGCAGCGTATTTTGTATCAATCTCCAATGACAAAACTTACAAAAAAACATTTTTTTATGTTTGTTTTGGAATAAAAACATGAGTTCTTAATCATAAAAGGCCAGGCAATTTAGAGCATGGATCCGCAATTTCTGCATTGCAAACGCTTTCCGCTGTGTTGAATTGTGACAGTGGTGGAGGTATTAAAAAGTTGTTTTCTAGACAAAAAAAAAAGGAAGGAAAATGGCAGTATTTTCAGAGACCGTTTCAAATAAGGACGTTTGATCGATTGATTGTGTGAAAACAGCAAAAGGCGCTTACGTTAATGAGAGACCTTTTCAGTGCGATAGCACGTCACTGCAGAGATTGGGGGCTAATCTAGAGTGGGTCATGAATTACTAACACTATATGGCGGGGGAAACATTTGGATGGCGGTCTCTACTCGTGATCTAGATTTTTGGCACATGTGCAAAAGAATTACAAAACTCCCCCAGTATAGATGGGTCTGGAGCCAATGAGCCACTAAACCGTCAGAGCCCCTTCCGGGAGGGCGGGTAACGCCGAGTAAAAATTCGACACCCCAGATTACCTCCCCGTTCAGGCACCTTTCTCTTCTTCCAGCGTGGCCTTTATGCCACATTATGCGCCACCTGAAACCAAAACCTATACAAATGGTCAAGAAAAATGTCGTTAAGCGAAAACAAAAATTACTTCAAAAATAGTGAAACAATGCAAAGAGCCCTGCTTTGGATTGTAGTTGAATTAGTAATGAATTTGCGTCACATCACATTAATATACGTGACGCAATATCATGATGCCACGTGATTTCGCGGAATCCCACGATGTAACTCTCACGCGACACCGCTAAATTTGTCTTAATTAACTCACCGTGACTCCCTAGCTCAGTAAGCGACTAAACGTGTAGTGGTGCTCAATACACGCTGCACGTTAACATTACTCATACAATTAAGATTGTTGTTTCTGTTTGATATGAATTTTAATGAAGTCGTCAGAAACTCGCTAGCGATTTCGACGTGCACCTTTTTCATGCTGTAATTAGGTTCTGAAAAGATATACGAGTTCAAATTCGAGAACTCCCAACAAGGGTGTGTTAGAACTAGTCGCGTGAATGCAGAAACGTATGTAAGTAATAATTTGTGGTAGTCAGATACAGCTCAATAAAGGCTCGGCAATAGATTAAAATGCAAAATGTGCGCTGTGGTAAAACAGTATATGGTGTCACTACTAGAGCAGTGAGTAAAATCGCGGCTATCAGTTTTTTTAGTAGTGCTACTGAAGAGCCTTAACCTGCGTAATTATTTGCGTGCTGTTTCGCTACCACTTTTTATCATTCAGTAAGTCGTCTCATGTCCCATTTAGATAATACTTTCAGCATTGAAACGTCGCCTCCAGACAAGATATCTGCAAGCGCACCGCTTTATATAACATAACACCTTAATTCTTGCTGTTCTGCTTGCTACTCTATTTCTTTTTGTGTGGTTCCGCAACTGTTGTTGATTACGGTAAGCTCGTATGTATAAAACCTCGTCATGTGATTCCAGATGCCGCTGGTTCCGCTGTTACCAACATTGAGCATCATCATCAATGCCACACTCATGACCACACTGCAGCCACTGACTTGGGCACGGTTGGTCATATGGATTGCGGTCGGTGAGTAGCATCGCTGTAAAAGTTCGATATCAGTCCATAAAGGGAACAAAGTGTACGCGGTATAATAGATGTAAGCTTATCCCACCTTGCGTATCTGTTTTTACTCTTGAGATTGCGCTTTTAAAAAAATGTAATGGCTCAGTCTAAAAGAAGCGAACTACCCACCTGTTAAATTAAAAATTGGGTACTCAGCAGTGTAACTCAGCAGTAATTGTGTTATTGTAGTACGTTCAACTTCTTATGAATCTCCACTTTAGCGTCCCATTATTTTTTTATAGCGTTGGTGTTTGTGTTGAAGCACAAGAATTGGCTCTAGGTCTGCACTCATTTTAAGGCGACTTACACCTAGCCCTCGTTTGCGATTACTACCATAAGACGGGGCAGAGTGGGTTTTGTAACAGGAAAGCAGCAACGCCTGTGCACTGTGCTTTTTTGTGGTTTTATCAATCGCCCATACCACATCCAGTCCGTTAATGACACCAATTAGCACCCCAGAACGTTCTGAGAAAGAGATTTGGCATAAAAAGCAACAGATCATGAACATATAGCTATGGTGGATGTCAAAATAAATCTCCATGAAATGTACAAAATGATCTGACAACCAACTGACTATTCCATTTAGATGCACCCTGCTCTGTCAAAACGCAAACTCTCTTGTTTCCCTCCCCCACCCCTCTCACTCAACTCTTAGAGAAAACTGCTGTATGTTGTCCCAAATGGAACAGAACGGCGTTCCAAGGAACGACGTTTCTAGAACGAGTTCCTTCTAGGAAGAACGAAGGAACGCCGCCGTTCCATTTTGCATCGGTGGAACAGGAACGGGAACTCGTTACATTTTTTTACGGGAACGGGAGAAGGAACGGAGTTCCTTTTTGCTTTTTCTAGTGGGGTCATATTTATTTTATTTTTAAGAGGGGATTTCTAAAAGGAGTATAAAAAGAATATATTAACAAAGAGCAGGATCTCTAACGTTTTTGCTACTTAGGGATTATTTTGTGGGGTCCTCGCTTGGTAACGGTCGGCTGCAGGAGAGGTAGTGGGCATTGATTCTCTTTTCAGTGCTCAAGACTGCAGTGCAGAAATGAAAACATTTAGTTGAAGAAAAAGACAGAAAAAGGGACTGTGAGGGATAGCGCGACACCGACGGTGGCGCCTCCAGCGGCAATGCAGGGAAAGTGAGCCAGAGCGAGGGAACTCCCGCGGATGCGCGATGGAACGGGGGCGAAGTGGAAGAAGCGGCATTGAGAGCGAGCATACGCGGGACTGGCTGCAGGTGACTCGGGGGACTCTCGAACGGTTTCGGAAGTGGCGTTATGTGGATCGGTGCAGTCTAACTTAGATAGACTAAACCAGTGTCATATTGGGCCCGAGTATATAACAAGTGGGGGCTCGTCCGTTGATTAAAATGAACCAACCGTCGGCGTTCGTGCCGCCGGAACTTCTTCAGACACTGTTGCAACAAACAGACGGGACACCGCTACAGCGGGAGAAGAAGGCGGCCCACGTTCGTGAGCTTTTGTTTGCTACTCTGATACGAGCCGCGGAAGAGGAAGTGGCACCCTTCGTCGCGGCGGCTGTCACTGAGGCCAGCACAATGGATGACCAGGACTCGACGCGCCCACGGTTGGTCCCCGTTCAGCCCCTGAAGTTTATCGGTTTCGGAGACTTGCAGTCGCCAGATATGTTCCTGGATAACTTTTTTTCTCGTTCACGGCGTGAAACTCGAGGACCGGCTCAGCCGGGTCGTACCTGCAGCCCCTCAGGGAAGCGCGAAACTGTGGTTCTGGTTCACAAAGGACTTCGCCGACTGGTCAACGTTTTCTATCGCTTTCCGAAAGGAGTTCACACCCGTCGACGAAAAGAAACGCCTAAAAGAAGAACTGAGGCTTAGAATTCAACACCCGGAGGAGAACCTGAAACAGTTCATTTGTGTTATAGCCTCGTACTATGACAGGATTGGCGACATTGTGACTGAGGCCGAAAAGGTTGAGCGGGTGTTGGAGCAAATGCACCCTCAGTTCCGAGAATTCTGCGCAGGCAAGACCTTTGCGAGCCTGAAAGAGCTTGTGCAGGCGGCGGACGGGTTAATAGAAAGAGTATGGCGACGGGTGAAGTATGATCCCCCGCCACAGCCCACCAACCAACTTGCGCAGGACCTGGCCCTCTACAGCAAGAGTGCAACGACTCATGCACCCGCTAAAAGTGCTGCGATGGCAGCGGCACCAGTGCCACCACCCGTAGCTAGCCAGGCCTGGCCCCTGCATCCGGTATCCATCCAGCCATTATACATCGGGACCAGCTGAGTGCAGTCGGAGCAGTGAGAATGCTTCACCAGACTGGCCTGCACAGCAATTTTCACCAGTACCCAGCAACCAACCAGCCTCCACAGATCCAGTGCCATCGTTGTGGTGGCATCGGAGATATGCAACGACAATGTCCCACAGCTAGACGCAAGGACTCATCACGCTGTTTCAAGTGTGGCCAGCTGGGCCACATGCAAGCGAGGTGCCAGGGAAACTCCTGGCAGTAGAGGCCAATCCGGCCGGCCCCTACCACATCACAATGCAGGTAGCTACAACAGCCAGCGGAAAGGAGCCATTGTTAGAGCTTCGTATTATAAGTTCACATTTAAGGCGCTTCTGGACACGTGGTCGAGCGTCAGCTTGGTGTGAGATAAAGCCGAGGCATTCTACTTGGTAGGGATTTTCTGAATGCCACTGGCATCTCTGTTCATGTGCGTCTGAACTCTTGGACTCTGGGCAATGAACCACAGACCCTAATCCCCTTTGTCCGGGACGTTGGCTCGAGGGTGCCAGGTCATCCCCGGCTGGGGGAGGAGGTGTACAGTCTGCAGGAGTTGTTTGCAGAGCCTCATGAAATCGCACACCAGGAACCCGACCACGATCAAGATGCCCAGCAGCCCTAGGAGGAGGACGCGGTTTAGCAACATGGCACTGAACATCCGGAAGTTTCGGCCCTACTTCGAAGATTTGATCACGTTTTTGACGCTCGCCCTGGTTGTACCGGACTGATGGAGCGCAGTATCCAACGCACTGTAGGCTTCGCCCAGTCCACTCTCACAAAAGACAGATTATGGATTCCTGCCTGGAAGATTTGCTGCGCCAGGACTTAATCCAACCAAGCTCCAGTCAGTGGTCCTGTGCCCCAGTCCTGGTCGCAAATAAGTCTGGAAGGTACCGGCTTGCAGTGTACTACCGTCCACTAAATGCCAAAACCAAGGTTCTGGTGTACCCGATGCTCAGGACAGACTGGGTACTGGCACAGCTGGGCAGAGCCCAATGGTTCACGAGCTTTGATTTGTCGCAGGGCTTCCTCCAGATCCCTGTTCGCCCGAGGATGTCCCCAAGACTGCTTTTATATGCCACCAAAGCACGTTTGAGTTTAAGAGCATGCCCTTTGGTGTGGCTGGTGGACCAGCCACATTCCAAAGCCTCATGAACAAAGTACTGGCGGGCATAAAGCACAAGTTTTGTATGGCCTTTTTCGACGATGTGCTGATATATTCAAGTTCGTTCTAAGAGCATCTGCGACATATTGAAGAGGTCTTGGGCAGGATCGCCCGTGCTGGATTGACCATCAACCCTAAGAAGACACAAACTTGCCGGCGATCACTAAATTTTCTGGGGTATATCATCTCCCAGGGAGAGTGCCGACCTGATCCTGATAAGGTTGCGGCCGTCAGGGACTTTCCAACCCCACGAACACTCAAGGATCTTTAGGTTTTCCTAGGATTGGCGGGGTACTACCGCACCTTCCTGCCGAAGTTCTCAGAGGTGGCTTGGCCACTGTCATTCCTCCTTCAGAAGAAGGTCTCGTGGTGTTGGAGGAACCCTCAAGAGGAGGCATTTCCTCAGCTCAAGTCCATGCTGGCTGATGACGTGGTAGTTGCACTCCCAGATTTCACCCGGCCATTTGTGGTGGAAAAGGAAGCCAGTGGGAGGGGCATTGTGGCAGTTCTCTTGCAGGGGACTGGAGGGAGGCTGAGGCCAGTGTCGTTCATCAGCAGAGCCCTGAATGGAGCGAAGAGGTACTACACGGTGCAGGAGTGGGAGTGCTTGGTGGTAGTGTGGGCCGTTGACGAGTTCCGGCCATATTGGAGCACATCAAGTTTGAGATCCACACTGACCACGCCTCTATTAAGTGGATGTTCACCACAAACCAGACTTCAAGCCGGGTGCGTCGATGGGTGCTGCGCCTGCAGGGATTCGATTGCCTCATCAGGCATCGACGGGGAAAAGCCAACATCCCAGCGGACGCGCTGAGCCGTTTCCCTGCCCTAGCTACAGTAGGCTCGGAGGCACGAGAGACTGACAACGAATGGTTCCCCATTGACACCGTGGAAACAGAATACCGGGTCCGGTTCGAGGAGAATGCGATGGTCCAGGAGACTGACATCTCACCCCTCCTCAATGCATCCGAGCTTGCTGACGAACAGCGGAAGGACCCTGGGATCATCAAGCTGATTAGCTATCTCAAGGACGTCACCCTACCGACTGACTCTGCAGAAGCATGCCAGATTCGGAACATGGCTGAGGACAACGAACTGGACCATGATGGACTGCTGCTAAAGATTGCAGGAGAAAGAAGATTCCTTAGGATGCCCAAACAACTATGCCAAACACTGCTCCAGTTGTCACATGATCACCCTCTAAGTGGCCACCTAGGTTATTTCAAGACACTGAGACGAGTGTCCGAGAGGTAATTTTGGATAGGCATGAGATTCGATGTGTTTCGGTATGTACGGTCTTGCCATTCATGCTGCACACTGAAGCTTCGCTGCCAGAAGCCAGGGGACTGGTGGACAGCGCTTGGGCAGAGGAACCCATGGCAGAGCTCAGTGTGAACCTCATCGGACCACTGCCCACCTCAAAGCGCCGACACAAACACCTGCTGGTTATCATCGACAAATTTACCAAGTTCGTGGAGCTATTTCAACTTCGAGCTCCGACCAGCAAGGCCATATTAGAAAGAATGCTGGA